ACAGATAATATCAATTAAAAAAATATATATATATTTAACTGGTCATAAACTACGTAACGGTAACACTAGCACTAGTACTAGTCTATATATTGATCGACATACTGCATAATTATATTCTTGATATTTATATAAACTAATTATCATAAAAGCATCAAAAAAGTAATCTACGCACACGGCTTTAAACGATCTCTATAAAAGGCTAACTATGGTTACACGAACATTACAAACTTCGAACAAGGGAACCCCTGAAAATACACTCCGAGAAAATTAACAGATACTGTACTTTGCACGAATAATTCATGAGACACATAATATAAAATTACTGATGTTTGAGAGCTTCCGAACAAGCATTGTTCCAAATTTCTAACAAATCCATGCCATTGATGGAATCAGATGATTTATTTACTGAAGAAATAGAATTCTCAGAATTTAAACGGGATTTCCGACTAGCATAATACTTTCGATTAATTATACGTCTAGCCAAATAATTGTTATTGCCACATCCAGAACATTTTCTAGTATGAGGTGGGCATTTAATATTACAATTTTCGCCCTTACAAGTATAAAGTGAAACACGACACCCATTACATTGATCACAAAAACAGTCTGCAAAGAAACCGTAGTCAAGAAAAGATCCATAGGGACCTACGGAAATGATAGGAATCTCGGAAGTAACGACCGAAAAAGAATTCGGTGAATTTTCAGAATTCAATTTGTCGGAAAATTTTAAGGGTTTATTGATGTCCATAATTAGAAAGTTTAGGAAAATCAAGGGAAATTATTAGCAGAAAGAGTTGATGCCGATCACAACAGTCAGATTTTTGTAGTGTATATGTAGAGCTTCGTGCCCATCTTGCGAAAATATACAAATAACATATGTACGTACGTATGTATTACCAGTTAATGTTACAACAAATGGAACACAAATACCTTAAGATTTGGAAATCTACATAGAAGATTCATGTATGACAGACCTGACAAAATTGGGAGAACGTTAAAGCAGGTGCTTTAGAATTACTTTTTTGATGCCCCTAGAGTTACTTTCTTGATTCAATTAGGCCAATGGTTTATATAGATATCAAGAATATAATTTATGCAGTATGTAGATCAATGGATTAAACGCATCTGAGTTTGGAACCAGATATGTTAAAATCGGTTCTAATCGGTTTTAACATATGAAAAAATAAACCGATTCCAATCTCTACTTAACCCATAGAATAATAATAACGATAATTATAATGTAAAGATATTAAGCCTTAATAATGATGAAAGAGTAAATATGAAAGAAGTGACTGTTCTAATTCGTAGCAACAACTCACCGTTATTTCAAAGAGAAAAATTCATCACAATGCTAAGGTAAGCGTGAAGAGAACATTGTGACTCGATTTTTCAAAAGAAATCATTTCATCGGCAATCATATTTAGAGTATTGGATAGCTAGAAGTAATTTGCCAGTGTAAAATAGTTTTCAGGAAATCGTAAGAATCAAATAGTTTTCAGGAAATCGTAAGAATCAAAAGAATCTGAAATTTGAAAGACAATTTATCTAGTGCTAGTAAAGCTAAAACAGACTTTCTTCAGATACATTTGTCGAGCACAAGAATAACTTGAAAAGTATTAAAAAATCTAGCTTTAGAAGGCAAGAATTTCTAAAATGTTACATTAATGGCACTACTTACAAATATTATTTTGCTAAGAGATGGCAATAGGACTACGAAAAGCGAGTATTCTGGAGACTTTAGCTGGAAATGACAATGATATCATGAAAATAGTGGATAAAAGTTTAAGTGAAATATCTTGTAACGAGTTTAAAATACCAAAACAATAAGAAGCAGACATATCTCTGCTTATTAATTCCCAGTTCTATCCTTTCTTTTCGATCTGTTAACTTTCTCAACATGCATTAAAGAAAGAAGCCAAATACGTAATTGCTGCTACTTCGACATGCGACACACGTTCATAATTCGAATCGGTTAATGTTGACGAACAAACAATGAGATTTAATATATTACAGCGCTTTTCAAATTACTGTGACCAGCAAATTCCACGCATCACACCGGAAATCAGGAATCTAGAAAAAAAGCCAATCTATGATTGGTTAAAAACTTATCAGAATAATTTTTAGCCAATCATTGATTGGAATTTTTTCTAGATTCCTGATTTCCGGTGTGGTACATGGAATTTGCTGGTTACAGTAATTGAAAAGCGCTGTAAGAAACCTTTTATTAAATTAACGCTCAACAGTATGTATTTTCGTTTATACATAGTGCTTATGAGACACATTAGTAGCTATGTTAAAACTCTTTAGCAATATAGAGGAGAGAATTTCAGTTTAGGTCAGAAATGAAGAGTGTAATTTACATTATTGGCTGCTTCACATCCAACAACTATATTATTAGGATGAATAATAATAATGAACACTTTGACTAAAAATATTTGAATCCTTCTGATTTTTTTCATATTTCTAATTATTCCCTACAATCCATCTACGTAACTTTTTCATGTACTTATTTTTACTAGACATATATCTATTTAATTTAGGTGATTGAGTATAAGTATTGTATTATTCCACTTAATCTTTAATTCAAAAACAATCATAAAATAAAGGTTTCGCTCTGAAATAAGGACATGAAAGTTATGTTACGTGGATGGCAGGGGATAATCAGTTATATCTAACTACATATATTATTAAAATCGGGTTTTATGGTAATATACAGTACATATTTACGTACCAATTAGTGACCCATCAGTGATGCATTATGTTCAATATTCCATTTCCTGAATTAAATCCGGAGTTTTCCAAATAGTCAAAGGCCCAACAACACCAAGAAGTGACCTTCGGAGAGTTCGCATTTCCGGATGATCTTGGATCGTTATGCAATATTATTATAAAGTTTATCGATGGTGCAGTAACTTTAATTAATTCATCATTTGAAGACGCATCCTGTTTTTTTGTTAGTTCAATTCTTTGCCAACTATTTTGTCTTCATATTTTGTTTCTTATGATTCATCTTTCTTGGAATTGAGTGGCCTTTTTTAATAACGGTAATGTTCGTAATATACATCTGTTTTTTTTTTCAGATTTTTAATTTCTAAACCATTTGCTCCTGATTTTCTTTCATTCTTATTATATTTACAAAATTGTCATTTATTAATACTTTTAAATAGAAAAGCCACTGATCATAATCGATATATACATAAGAACCGATAAAAGTCACTTTCTCATTCCCTTTCAACACAATAGCCTTAGACAACCAAGTTTCTCTTCCCATCACGCATTGATTCTGCCATTTTCCTATTCAACAGTCGGTCTTCTTCGAGCAGGCGGGCAACTACTGCTCATTTTACTGTCACGATGATATCTGACGCAATTTCGCTAATCTCTGGGCATATCATCGTTTTAGTTTGAATTACTTAACTAAAATTACTCACTATATATTCCACGGACTTCAAAAATCCTTTAATTGAATTTATTTCCGGCACTCTGACTAGCCAATCATGTGACCAGTCGTATTCATGCTTTTCGACACACGGCTATGTCTAGACTGTCTGGACTTTGTCGACACTTGTCATTCTTCAATTTTACGGATTGAAAGTAACGGATTTCTATGATTTCCCGACAAACACTTTCCCGACAATTCACTTTCCCGACAAACCTCTTCCCGACTTATTTCTTTCCCGATAGTATTAGTTTCTCTCGACAAGTAATTTCTCGATATTAGGGTTCTGCAAATGCCCATGCCAGGCATATTGGCACCATGCCAGGCACTAGTGCTTTATGCCATGCTCATGCCCATTGGCACAAAAATACCAGGCACTTCTGTAAACATGGTCATAAATGCCAGGCACTATAATTGTACCAGGCTCTATTATGAGCACGGACATTAAGTGCTTGGCACAAGATGCAAAACACAAGTCCAGACACAATTAAATACAGAAATAATAAATATTAAATTTCCGTGCCTTTCGCTATTCCCATGCCCATACCAAGTTTTTGTGCTCATACCCGCCCATGTATAAGTTTTCATGCTCATGCCAATACCTAGATTATTGTTGAGCACAGGCACAAGCCTGGGTTGCAGACTCCGACAGTATCACTTTCCCGACATTATCTATTTACCGACAGTATCATTTTCCCGACAACACCTTTGGCAGATAAAATTCCGACAAAATTGACCGGAACTAACCCTAACCTAATCAATTTGTCGGGAAAATGATACGATTGTGAAATAGATATTGTCGGGAAAATGATATTGTCGGGAAATAGGTATTGTCTGGAAATTGACATGTCTGGAAACTAATTGTCGGTAAACTAATGCTGTCGGGAAAAAAGTATTGTCTGAAAAGCAATAAGTCGGGAAAAGGTTTGCCGGGCAAGTGAATTGTCGGGAAATTAATAGGATCTGAAAAATAACATGGGTCGATTTTTAATTCGGTAAAAAAATCTTTCCCGACGTTTATAAAAAAATAAAGTTCAATAAATTCTCATATCGTCGTTATATTCACAAAACTGTAAAATAAAAAAAAACTTAAAGCGCATTAAAACTGATTTAATATTATTTTTATATTGTAAAATCATTATTTAAATAATTGCTGCGGCTGATGCTGAAATTGGTGCTGAAATTTGGACCTATTTTGCTAACATTTTTTGGGATATCTCTGCTTATTAATTCCCAGCTCTATCCCTCTCAACATGCTTAAAAAAGCTACTACTTCGACATGCGACACACGTTCATAATTCTAATGAGATTTAATATATTAAGAACCTTTAATTAAAATCAACACTCAACAGTATATGTATTTTCTTTTATACATAGTACTTATGAGACGCATTAGTGGCCATGTTAAAACACTTTAGCAATATAGAAGAGAGAATTTCAGTTTAAGTCAAGAATGAAAAGCGTAATTTACATTATTGGCTGCTTCACATCCAACAACTATATTATTAGAATGAATAATAATAATGAATATTTTGATTAAAACACATTTGATCTTTCTGATTTTTTGTCATATTTCTAATTATCCCCTACCAACCCCATCTACGTAACTTTTTCATGTACTTATTTCTATTAAGCATGTATTTATTTTAGGTAATTGAGTATAAGTATTGCAGTGTTCCACTTAATCTTTAATTCAAAAACTGCATAAAATAAAGGTTTCGCTTTGAAATAAGTACATGAAAGTTATGTTGCGTAGATGGTAGGGGGATAGTCAGTTATATCTAACTACCTATGATATAACTATTACACATATATTATTAAAATCGGGTTTTATTGTAATATACAGTACATACTGTACGTACCAATTAGTGACCAATCAGTGATGCATTATGTTCAATATTCCATTTCTTGAATTAAATCTGGAGTTTTCCAGATAGTCAAATCAACAACACCACAGTTTCTATTGCATTATTTACTATAGTACTTAATCTGACTTGAATATAAAATAGTGATATGCTCTTAATATTCTCACCCAAATTTATGTTACCTATTCAATTACGATGTGAATCATTGCTATCTGAATTTTTATCTGAATTTTTTTAGCAGTGAAACAGTCCAAAGATAGGAATTCGTTTAAACATTCGATATAATAGGAATAAATCATTTAGAAGTGACCTTTGGAGAATTCTCATTGCCAGACGATTTTGGATCGTTATGCAATATTATACTGTATAAAGTTTATCGACGGTACAATAACTTTTAATTTATTCATCATTAGAAGATGCACCCTGTTTTTTTGTTAGTTCAATTCTTTGGCAAATATTTGTATCCATATTTTGGTTTCTTATTATTCATCTTTCTCGGAATTGACTAAATAGTAAGGGCCTTTTATAGTAGCTGTAATATTCGTAATATATATCTGTTTTTTATTCAGGTTTCTAATGTCTAAACCATTTGCTCCCGATTTTCTTTCATACTTGTTACATTTACAAGTTACTTTTCAATTGTTATTTAATAATACTTTTAAATAGAAAAGCCACTGATCATAATCGATAAATATATTTATTTTTATTTATATATATAAACTACAAAAGTCACTTTCTCCTTCACCTTTCTACATAATAGTCTTAGACAAACAAATTTCACTTCCCATCATAAATGATAGTCTCCTGATTCTGCCATTGTCCTATTTAACAATCGGCCTGCTTCGAGTAGGCGGGAAACTATTGGCTGATGCTGCTCATTTTACTGTCACGATGATATCTGGCGCAATTTCGCTAGTTTTCTGTGAGCATCTCATCGTATCAGTTCGATTTACTTAGCTAAAATTACTCACTATGTATTCTGCAGACTTCAAGTCCTTTAATTGAATTTATTTCCGGCACTTTTTGCTAGCTCAATCGTATGACCAGTCGTATTTATGCTTTTCGACACATGGCTATGTCTAGACTGTCTGGACTTTGTCAACACCTGTCATTCTTAATTTTACTAATTAAAAATAACCTGGCCCGATTTTTAATTCGGTAAAAAACCTTTACAAATATTATATTTTACGTCATAAAAAAAAAACTAAATAAAGCTTAATAAATTTCCATATCGTCGCTATGTTCACAAAACCGTAAAAATAAAAAACTTAAAGCTCATTAAAACTGTTTTAATATTATTTTTATGTTGCCTTTATGTTTGAAAGAAAATTAGTTTATCGTTAAAATCATTATTTAAACTAGTAGGTCTAAGAATATTATTAGTATTATAATATATATTTTTTAATGTTAAGTTTAAAATAATATTAATTAAATAAAATATTATTTATAAAATTTTTTATTTGTTATAATGATATAGTTAAGTCAGAATAAATATAAAAACCTAAATTTACTTATATTTATTTTAGCAAAAACTATTTAACTCTATTTGAAAATAACAATTGCAAGTAGATTTAAGAAAAATAAAAATAAAAATTTATTATAAAATTAATTTTTAATATAAAACAAATTCACAATAATTACAAAATTTATAAAAAACAAATTTATTTAATTGATGCAAAATTTAAAGGTCTTTTTGGCTTATCATTTTATTGAGTATATTTTTAGAATTATTGGTGCCTCTAAAGGCCCTGGACATAGTATATTCTGATGAGAATATATTAAAGATTATATTTAAAATATTAAATAATTGCTAATAGAGATAAATTAACCTATATTGCTTTGAGGCTCTAACAAAAAAATTTTCTTGCTAAATTTATTATAAAATATACTTCATTTTTAACCCCTACCCTTTACACTAACTTCAATATTAAAAAAAGTTTAAAAATCTGATTTTATGTTATATTAATTAATTATTGTTGAGAATAATGCTGGAATTGACTGAAGCTAAAAATTGGGAAATTATAATTTAGATTCATAAAACCTACTAAAACCTACTTGTTGATTATAGATTTTACCCATAAAGCTAACCTATAACCTTAAAAAATGTCAAAAAATGTCTTCAAAAATTTTTAAATTTTCATAATAAAATGGATCAAATTTCAGCTTTAGCCAATTTCAGCTTCAGCCACCACAATTATTGGGCGCACCAAATACATGGGACATGGTTTAACATTTTTCTTAATAATTTATAGAGATACTTTTATATAATCACACTTTTATACTATCACTGGATAGATATGTGCCCAACTGTGTAATTATAGGGGAGGACGATGTATCCCAATCTCAATAATCGAGCAATATTAAGAATATGCATTTTGTGATTAGTAACTCATTGATTTTTTGTGAAATTTTATTAGGCACACGCGTACACGTTTATATATCTTCTACTGTTCTAGGGATATATTACAATAATAATTTTTTTACATTTAATAATATTGATATTATAAATAACGAATTCAAATTTACGGATTTACAAACTGATCCCTAGTTAAACTAATTTCTAACGTACATGTATATTGACCATAAAGAAATTTGTATGACCACTTTATAATTTACAATTATAAAAGACTTATTTACTTGTACTAAAACTTCAAATATTATCGGAAATGTAAAGTTCATATAGAGCAGGATCTAAATAAATAGTATAATATTTAGAATTAAATAAATAAAAATAATATAATTTTTAAATAAATACATACCTTGAATTACATCTGATATTTTTTGTGTGTTGATAATTTTAGTAGTATACATACAATCCGGGTGTTTTGATAAAGTCATTGGCAATGCTTTAATCATTTCGTCAGCATCTAAGAATTGCCTTTTAATTTCGCCTACATCATCTGAACTTTCCAAGCTTTTATACCATTCATCAAGCTTTTTCCGAACTTTATAAACGGAAGGTCGTTTTTGTGGATCAGAATCCATGCATTGTTTGGCTAATTTAATATAGCAATCCGGAGTTCCTGTAGCAAATCCAGGTCGTGATCCTCTGTATATATCTAATGAAAGACTAAGATCAAATGGACGACCATCAAAAGGTCTTTGTCCAGTTGACATTTCTGACATAATAACTCCAAAGCTATAAATATCAGCAGCCTTTGTAAACCCTTGACCTGCTAAAACTTCTGGTGCAACATAAGGCATGACACCATAAATATAACCTGAGGCATTTTCATTACACCTTTTAGACAAACCCAGATCTGAGATGTAAGATTGCATACTTTTGCTAATGTCACCGTCTTGTAAAATATTGCCACTGTGAAAATCAGCATGAATATATCCTGCGTGATGGATTTTACGTAAATCAAGTATAATATCCAAAAGTAGTTTTAATTTAGTCTGCCAGGTAAGATCTTGAAAATTTGTTTTTAAAAGCTTATGAAGAGTTCCATTATCGGCATATTGAAACACCATCAAGTATTCATTCGTTTCTGTGTTTTGGGTCAATCCATAAATCTTTAGACGACTACCATACAATCTACATTTCATATGATTGTCAAACTTTATAAATTTATATAAATGAACCAGTTCAATACGTATTCAATGAATTTTACAATACAATTAATAATGAGTTAACTTACTTCTTTCAAAAAATCATGAGGATTTTCCTTAGAATCAGACAATGTTTTGAGCGCAACGGTACTAGAAGACTCGCGAACTCTTACATATTCGTTATTGCCCCAAACGTCTTTCTTAATTATTTCAATTTTTCGTATACCATCTAACCAAGTTGCAGAAAATACAGAGCCGAATCCACCTTGGCCAATTTTTTTAATATTAATTAATCTATCAAATGGAATCCATTCAATCATATTTTCATGCGCACTAGTTCTAAGTTGAAACCCCTTCATA